TGTGTGTGTGTGTGTGTGTGTGTGTGTATGTATGTGTGTGTGTGTGTGCAAGAAGCAGCGGGGTTATGTCTGCGTGTGTGTATTGATCACACATGTATATATATATATATATTTTTTTTTCTAAATCTACACTACAAAATAAATCGATTGGAAAGAAACGGATCCGCACCAGTGCCCCTTCCACATACAAGACACTAAGGATTTGGTTCAGTTTGATTTGATTTAGTCTTATTTGAGTTCATTTAATCTAATTTGATTTAATTCAGTATAGTGCCCTTCACTCTAATTTGAGTGAAGTTACATCTCTTGTATTGTGCAGATATTCATTCTCATTCATACCTTTCCACATTTGTCAACATGAATACGGTTTATAGTGTTTGTTATGAATTATATTCGAAACCGGTAAAATACATCTCTTGTATTGTGAAGATTATGAAGAACTGGGCGAGGACTCTAACCCTTTATTTCAGTAAAAAACTGTAGAAAAGTATAATGGCCACTCCCATCAGAGCTCGATCACCTCAGCCGACGCCTCATCAGCGCCCGCTCATCCTTCAGAGCCTTCAGGAGGAAGTCCAGAAAGGGGCGCTTCTCGGCCTCGTGCCTCTGGCTCTCTCGCGTCCACGTGGTCAGCTCGCGCGTCTCCGGCTGTGCGAGCCTGAAGATCGATGCCATGAGTTTCCCGATCCCGTAGACGTCCGACCGCTGTCTGCAGAGCCCGCCGCCCGGTGTGAAGAACTCCGGCGGCTAGCAGTCGTCCTCCCTCCAGGCTCCTAGAAGGTCCAGGTGCTCCCCCCGCCGCTCAGAGAGGCCGAAGTCGATGACGGTGACTTCCAGTCCGTTGGGCGTGACATCAAGGCAGATATTATTGCTCTTGATGTCATTGTGGATGAATCCGAGCGCGTGGATGTCGGCGAATATTAATGCAATCTCCGATGCGATGTCGATCCACTGCCGAGGGAGCAACGGGGAGTTCCGGCCCATCCAGCTGCACAGGACGGGGCCGCCGTACTCGGTGGCTATCATGAGGCGCTCTGGGCACACGCCAACGAGTTTCTGGACGCCCCGGACGCCCTTCAGGGCCGTCATGGCTTCCACCTCCTTGACGCTGGACCAATATGTTTCAAAATCGAACGCGTATTTGACTACAACTTTGTCCGCCGCGTTTAGAAAGGCCTCGCCATAACCGCCCGCGCCCAGGCTCTGTGGCCTATTTCCCAACAGGGCGTCAGCCTCGCCCACGGTAAGCATCGGCACCTTCAGCTCGGAGAAAGCGTTCCATAGTTCCCTGAGCTATTCAGGCGAAGGCCCTCTGAGCTGTTCCTCCTTCTCACTTCCGCTGGAGATGCGCGCTTGCTACGCGCACTGGCCAGCCTCTTCAGGAGCTGTACGCCTCCTCTTGGCAAGGGGCTGGTCATCATCTCCTGCGCGGTCGCTGCAAGGTGTCCTCTTGCCGAAGAACATGACGGAGAATGGGCGCGCTGGCGGGAGTGGGTTCAGGGGGCGAGGCGTAGGATTGTATAGGTGGCTGTGAGTGTGAGTGAGTGTGTGTATGTGTTTATGACTGCATTAGGCATACGTGTGAGTGTGTGTGTTTTTGTCTGCATTAAGCATACGTGTGAGTGTGTGTGTTTATGACTGCATATAGGCATACGTGAGAGTGTGTGTGTGTGTTTATGACTGCATGTAGGCATACATGTCAGTGTGTGTGTTTATGACTGTATATAGGCATACGTGTCAGTGTGTGTGTGTTTATGACTGCATGTAGGCATATGTGTGAGCGTGTGTTTATGACTGCATGTAGGCATACATGTCAGTGTGTGTGTTTATGACTGCATGTAGGCATACGTGTGTGTGTGTGTGTTTATGACTGCATGTAGGCATACATGTCAGTGTGTGTTTATGACTACATGTAGGCATATGTGTGAGCGTGTGTTTATGACTGCATGTGTGCGTGTGTACACATGTATATATTCATATATGCATGTGTGTGTGTGTGTGGGTGTATGTGTGTGCATATATGTGTGCATATGTGCACGTGTGTATACATTCATGTATGCATATCTGTGTGCGTGTGTTTTTGGATATTTCTACCACTGTATGAACACCGAATTTTCCACTCACAACTAGCAAGAGAAATTAACTTGACCCATCGGCGAATATGTAAAAAAAAAAAAACGTAAAAGAAGTAAGAATTAAATAGTAATTAGTAATAACGTGTAAATAACGTTAATCGCCCTCATCACGCCGCGGTGAATCACTTCGCCTGAAATCCTTAATTGACACGAATCTTGATAGATAAGGGAATAATCGGAATATCAAAGCATAGCGATTTAAGCTGTGGTTGAATTGGCTTCCCTCCTTTTTTTAATCTGAGTTTTTATCTCGCATGTATTTTCATGTTTGGAATGTTCACTTTTTTATGGGATTAAGCATGAGTTGATTAATAATTTCTATGCGTCTGTTTGCACACTTTATCTGTTAAATAACTTTACCGCTAAAAAGGAGAGGGAGGGAGGGAGCGAGGGA